GACACTGAAGATGGCACAATGCCGAAACCGGTTTGTCTGCAAACCAAACTTGGCAAGGGATATCGGAAATTCGTTCCAAGATAAATCATCTTACCACCCTGTCGGAAAAATCAACCAACACCAATAGGACTATTATATTCAGATATTGACGGTTCGACTATTTTATCCTTTATTAGTTTCTCTACCTGCCTATTGACTTCATCTTTTTGGGTATGTGGTATCCTATAACTTTTTATGTATACTGGTTTTGTATCCGGTGTAATCTCTGCTTGTAAAAGTTATTTGCATCAACTGGAACTGTTTCCAGTGCGAATACATCTATAAAGTTAGAGCATAAATGTTTGAGACGTTCTTTTACAAATTCCGGGAAATTCATGGAGAGTTTATCTAAAATCTTATCCTTATGATTCACTCGTTCTTGTTTTTGTCTTACAACTACTGTATAATTTGATATTTTTTCTGTTTTTATTTTAGGATTTTGAAATACAATATTTTCATCTGTAGTATTTATGATCTGAACATATGGACATTTACCAGAGGCTAGTGTATTACCAATGTATACACCATTATATATATTTTGATTCGGAATAAATAAATCTTCTTCGGACTGCACGGAAATTTTTCTTATTACTTTAGACCTTGCGGGTACGGATAAAGCATTTTGAGGTGATGTGTCATAAATGCGAATGGTGATAATATCACTGAAGTTATTTGGGCTTATTATTAACCAGCCTTGGTTACGCTTATAGGTTAAAATGCAGTTAAACTTTTTTATAAAATCCAAACCCAGGATGCCGTCGGCGGGTATTGGGAAATTTTCATCCACTATCTGAAAGTTATGATTTAGTCGATGGTGTTTTACCACAAGATCAGCTGTAGAGCTTCCCAAGCATTTAATAACTCCTTGACCTATGCCGCTTAATTGTACTTTGGAGTTGGAATTTATGGAGCATTGATTTTTAATTGAATTTACCTTAAGGATAGAAATATCAGCCCCAGTATCAATAATAAAAATAGATTTTTCATACTTAAATGTTGTTTTTAATGCTACGTAACTATTAAGGCTTAGATTTAGATTAAATATATGCTGAAGCTTTAATTTGCTGTATTCAGGGAGGTATCGTAGTTTTCCGAATCAGTGTGTCGGTTAGCGAGTCTAACATTTCAAGTTTGAGAATTACTGTTACCGTAATTTTTGCGACCGCGATGACGATATTTTGTATTGTGTATTCGACCTCGGTCATGAAAGTTATGATATCTACTATTATTATAGCTACGTCCTCGATTTTGGCTATAATAATTGTTGCCACCTCTGCTTATGTACCTTGTATTCGGTTGACTGCCTCTAAAATGTAGAATAGTGTTTTGTTGACCCGTTGCCTCAGTGCAACTATTAATGAATTTGCTAATAGCTTCATTCATATTATGAAACTGACCCGCTTCCATTATCACTTTCACTTTATCTAAGCTACAGTTCTTTATCATAACCTTAACTGCAGTTTGGGTTGAGTACTTACTTGCTAAGCCACAGTTAAGGCCATCTGATATGTACGCGTCTTCCAATGCTTTTTTCAAGTCCTCAACCTCTTTAGCGTAGGTCGTTGCAGATTTGCTGTTTTCGCGCACATTACTATTTTTCGAGGATATAACCTCCACGGATTCGCTTTTACCCAGAGATCGAAAATAACCGTCACCAAGTGTCCCGTATGGTGTTTACCACTGACACAAACACTCGTCTCTCAAGCAAAGAGTGTTTCTCACCGTGGCAAATCACTCTGTGCGATCTTTTTGTGTTTTCCGTTGTGGGTTATTTATCAACTGCTAAAATTTCCCTTGGGCAAAAACACTTTGGCAGGGACTTTTATTTTTAAGTGTCTTAATTTGTGGGTTATTGTAGGACTGAAAAATATAAGTGGGCGTAATAAGTGGAAGCAAAGCGCTAGGCATTTCTTTACACGACATATATGTACGTACACATACATGTGCGAACATTTATGACAAGGAAGAGAGCGTGCACATTCATAATATGATACATCGAAAATAATCTTGTACTTTCCAATTTAGTCCCGAGAATCCCGAAATAGCCCAAAAATCCCGAAGTAGTCCCGAAGATTCTGAAAATCCTGAAGAAGTCTCGAAAATTCCGAATTAGTGCCGCGGATCCCGAAAATCTCAAAGTAGTCTCAAAAATCCCGAATTAGTCCCG